AGTCTCTGCCCCTCTGGGCCTCAGTTTCCCCATCGGTGCAGGCCTGCCCTGAAGGCTTGTGCAGCTCCGACCACAGAATGTGCCCAGCCCCTGCCTCCCGACGGGGCTGCTCCGGGGGTGAGCGCAGAGTGGGGGCTCAGGCGGCCACCTCCTCAGGGGACACGTCCCCACGGGAGAGAGGATGTGTCCCCGAGACCGCGTCTTTCCGGAAAACGCCCACAGTTCCGTGCTTTCCCGGCCTGCCCCGGAGGGCTCGCACCCCTGGCTCCCACCTCCTTGGGGCTATTCTTGGCCTTGGCAGGCCTGATGTGGCGGAGTGTGCGGTGTCCCCTTTAATTTGGGGTCTGAAGCCGGCTGAGGCCGGAGGGTAATTATGTGTGCAGAGCCGTTTATGGAAAGAACTCCGAAAAGAGTCCGTAATGAGAACTGACTAAAAATACTGCAGCCTGAGACCTGGGCCTCCTCTCGGCAGCGCTGAGATTTCTGGAGGGGGAAGCCCTTCGGGGTGCAGAATCGATCGGTGATCAATTCCTCGGCTCCCCTGTGGGCCTGCACCGGCTGTGGGGACCGGGTCTGTTTTAGGTCTGAAGTGGGCCCATCGGCCTCCATTACCGATAGGACCAGCCAGACAGGCCCAGCCTGTCCGCCTCCGGGACCCCGGGGGGGGGGGAGGGGCCTGCCCTCTGTCTCGGGGCCGGCAAGTCCCACAGGAAAGTGAGACCCATGCGTGGCCTCTATGGAGACGCCGTGACAGGAAGCCTCTCCCAGACCAGCTGCAGTGCCCTCGCCCACAGCTGGGGAGCTGGGCCCCAGCCACTGTCCTGGGGACCAGGAGCTCTTGGGAAGAAGGGGACGGAGCCTCCCGCTTCCATTTCACATTGCTTGGTCCCTGTCCTCCAATTGCTCACTGTCCGTGGGGGCGGATGAACCAGGCACAGGGGCCCCTGGGATGGGGGAAAGGGCGAGACCAGCAGGCTGCTCTGTGGGGTCAGAGGAGGACAAGGGGCCTTTACAGCTGGACTGAGAGGAAAGCAGCCTTCAGACACGGGCTGGGGCCACCCAGAAGACAGCGGCTTCCGGGGGTTTGGGAGGGCGTGGGGAACTGGAAAGCCCCGGAGGCCGTGTGGACGGGCTGGGCCAGCTCAGGAAGGTCTGGAGCAGAGCTGAGCTCACGCCCTGCCCGCGGCCCCGCCAGGCTTGGGGAAGGGTTTGAGGGCAGGAAGGACTGGCGGGCAGGTTGGAAGGTTCTGTAATCTTAACAGCCTCTCTGGGCTGGAGCAAGAGGAGGGTCTTTTGCAGTCTTACTTTTGGGACAGAAACAAGATAGACGTAGGTCATCTGGGTGACTCAGTGGCACGAAAATAGCCGAAGCCTTTGCTGGTGTCGGGCTGGGGGGTGCAGGGTGCGGCATCTGTGAGCGGCAAGTGCAGGGCCTCGGAATGTTGACGGTGGTCGTGGGTGTAGAGGCTGCCTCCTGCTCATGGGGCCTTTCCCGAAAACGTGGGACCCGGGGTTGTGTGACTGGGCTGGCGGAGAAGGCCCATGGCCCCATTCGCACATGGTGACTCATGACTGTTATTGTTCTGGAAGCCACATTAAGGCAATTCAGAGACTAAATGTGTGTGCTGCTTCCCCAGACAGAAGCTGGTTCAGTGTTTGAACATTTTAGGCGGCCTTTGTAATTTTGTGGAAAATAAACATTTAGAGGTCCCTATTGAGCAAGGCGTAGCTTTGTCTGTCTCTCTTTGTCTGTCTCTACGCTTTGGGCACATGGCTCTCATCCTTTGCCTTTGTGTCCTTGGGATCGGTGTGTCCAAGGATAAATTCATATATAATTTTGCTAGGGTATTGCAAGAGGGTATTTCCAGGTTCCTGTCCACAGCATTCCTACAGTAACATGTGTAAATGTTTATGTCCGCTCTTACCTATGACTCAAAGGAATGCAGTACTGACTATCCTAAGAAAAGCACCGCCCACCCCTTTCCCACTACTCCTGACCCCAAACCCCTCTATATTCCACATACAGTAGATAGCATCCCCTCTTTTACTTGTTTCTTTGTTTATATTCCCTCCCCGTTAGACTGTAAAGTACCTGAGTGCAGAGACCTGACTTCTGTCTTGTTTACTGCTGTATTCCATGTCTAGACAGACTCTTATCTATAATAAGAATTATTTAAAATCCTCACCTGAGGATATGTTTATTGATTTTAGAGAAAGAGGGAGGGAGGGAAGGAGAGAGAGAGAGAGAGAGGAACATTGATTGGCTGCCTCCCCCATGGGCCCTGACCAGCGATCATACCTGCTACTGAGGTGAGTGCTCCGACCAGGAATTGAACCCATCACCTTTTGGTGCAACACTGCCAGAGCCATGCAGTAAGAATTTGATATGTTTGTTGATAAATTGAGCTTGATAAATTAATGAATAAATAAGCGAACAAGCACAGAAAAACGTCACTCACAGTCACCCCTTCCCGCCACCCCACGGCGTGGCCTCTGAGCAGGATCACATCTTGGCACAAAGTTGGGAGATTTCAAGTCAGGTTCGTCCTAAACTCCCGTTGAGTGGTCACCCGCCCAGCCCGTTGCTTCTTTACAAAGGCCTGTCCTGGATCATGAGGGAAGCTGGGCAGCATCTTTGTTCCTGGTGCTCAGAGGAGGAGGCAAGCCCTGGGGACGGACATGGCTGGCGGGGCCAGGTCAGGCGGGCACTCTGAGCTGCCGGAGCTGCCTGGCTGGTGAAAGCAGCTGGATCTGCACAGTTCACGGAGGAAATCGAGGCCGGAAAACGCTTTCTCAGAAGACCACCTGGGGCAACATCTCTCCTAACTCAAAGCTGCCAATCCACAGGGGCCCACCCTCCCCGCTGACCGCTGACCGCTGACCGTCAGATGAACGAGTTCTCTCTTTACCCAGTTCCACTCTCAGGACATTTCACCATCTTCCGGGGTTTGCCGGGAGCAGCCAGGGGGCAGTTTCCTGTGCTGGAGCCACTGGTGGTTCATCAAAACTCAGGCCGGACGTTCGGGAGGGGAGTCCGTTCCCCTGTCAGGTGAACAAGGTGCTCCTGACCCAGCAGGGCAGGGAGGCCGCCTGGCTCGGTGCCCACGTGGGGCTGGCAGGTTTGCAGCTGGCTCCCTCAGTCCCCGGGTCCAACATGGAAAGCAGCCTCAGGCCTGCAGACAGCGTCCCAGTGGCCCACCCATCAGTCAGTCCCCCGGCCTGGGGACAGACGCTCATGCGATGCTCGGAGAGGGTCCGGTGGAGGGTGTGAAGGAACGACAGCCTTCACTCTCTGTGCCGCCCCCTGTGACGGCCAGCAGCCTGGGCCTCTCCCATCCCGCGGGCCTGGACATGGGCGTGTGGTCCCTGAGTCGCGGGAATCGTCACCAGAGTCGAGCGTGTGCATGTGTCTGCGGAGGCCCCTGCCCTCCACGCCCGGCCTGTGCGGGAGGACCCGGGGCCACCCGTGTCTCTGAACTCGCCTGGCACTTGCTGCGTGTCCCGCTTCCTGCCTGACCACGGACACTCTCTCCTCTCCTCCCGTCCGGGAATGGAACACCCATCTCCTGCCCAAACGTGTGCCTGCTGGCCCGCCCAGCACAGCTGTTTGCCCGGCCACCACCGGACCAGGCTCCCACCAGAGGACAGGACGTGCTCCCACATCCGCCTCTGCCACCAGCGGTGACTGTGGTCACGGGGCCCAGTAGCCAGAGAGGCTTTTTAAAGAGACTCGCAGACGTGTAATTAAAATCTCGGTGTTGGGTTTGGGGGAAGGTGCTGGGCGGCTCCCGCCCCTGCTTTCCGGAAACACAGATTTGCAGTGTTTGAAAGCGACCAGAGGCTAAAGTGAGACGGCCCTAAATACACTGTCCCGGGCGTTTCCGGCCGCCGGGCGAGGGGGGTCAGTTCGGCACAAGCGGCCTCTCGGCCGGAGTGTTGGACCAGGCCCCACAGCGGAGCCACCTGGGGCCCCTCCAGCCCATGCTTCACCCCCTCCACGCACAGCTTCCTCACCACACCCTGCTGCCTGCTGCCCCAGCCCGGGCCCCCACCGGCCAGAAGCACAGCCATGCTCCTAGGCCGGATCCCCAACTCTCCGCAGTCAGGTCCCCGCCAGCCTCACAGCCCGTACCCCACCCCTCTGATCTGTGGTGGCCCTGACCCGCTCAGCCTGTGCATTCGATGTCCCCTCTGTCTGGAAAGCCCTCCCTGCCACTCCCCACCCGCCCAGATGTCATCCCAGCCTCTGGGGCCAGTTCAGATGGCACCTCCTCCAGGAAGCCCGCTCAGATCCCACCTCCGCCTCCCCGGCACTGACTGGGCCTCCCCAGGGGCTGTCACTCCCACCTTGCTGCTTGTTCCTCCCCATCGCTCCCTCTGGCCCCCTCCTCCTTCCCCTTGTTCCAAGAGGACCCTGCACCCCTGCGCCCTCCGCTGTGTTCCATGGCTGTTGTCTCCCTGTCTGTGCCGTCTGCTCTCCGCTCCAGGCCTTTGCTCACAGAGGCCCCTTCCTCTGCAGCATCCTTGTCCCGTGACCTCGGGGTGAATTCACTGTCCCCCCCCCAGGCCCGGCTCCACTGTCAGCTGTGAGCACTCACGTCCCACGTCCCGTCCACACACCCGGGGGCTCTGAGCACTCAGTCATGTCCCCGCCGCCACGCGCCTCTTCCCCTTGGGTCTGAAGTCCGTCTCCGGAGGAGGGGCCTGTCCTCTCTGCCTCATCTGAGGGCCAGAGACAGAGGGGGGCTGGGCCGGTCCTGCTGGCTGGAGGCTGGGGGCCAGAAACGGGGCTGTCCTTGTTGGCCCCCCAGTGCATCAGGTGCTGTGCTGGGCACCTCGCTGCAGGGCCCCGGGCCTCTCAGCACTGGCGGCAGAGCCGGGGGCAGGCCCATTCCCCAGGGAGGGAATGCCTCTCCCAGGCTGTCCCGGCCCCTGGTCCCCCGGGCCTGCACCGGGAGCCCGAGCCCAGAGCCGGAGCCAGCAGCTGCTTTGTCTTGCAGTGGAGCTCGACCGCTCCCTGGGCCACCCGGAGCCCCACTGGAAGGAGTTCCACTTCGACCTGACCCAGATCCCGGCGGGGGAGGCGCTCACGGCGGCCGAGTTCCGGATCTACAAGCTGCCCAGCGCCCACCTGCTCAACAGGACCCTCCACATCAGCCTGTTCGAGGTGGTCAGAGAGCGGGCCAACAGGTGCCTGTCCCCTGCCCCCGTCACTCTGGGTGTGTCCGGCCCAGCCCCGGGGGACAGACAGGCTTCCTGGGAGCCCCCCTCCGAGAGGAAGGATGCCTGGACCAAGGCCCTGGCCCCTGGCTTCAACCCCTCCCTGCCGTCCTGGCTGTGGGACCTTGGACGGGGCACTGAGCTCCCAGCCTCAGTTTCCCCATCTGTCCCCGGGGGCGGCGCACCTTCCTAGGTAGATGCAGTGAGAGAGGCAGTGAGGCACCCAGCTCAGGGCCAGGAGGGTCGACGCCCAGGAGCGGTCCCCAGGGGCACAGGAACATGGAGGCAGCGGTGCGGCTCCGGTTAATTGTTCTTTCGTATCCACAGGGAGTCTGACTTGTTCTTTTTGGATCTTCAGACGCTCCGAGCTGAGGACGAGGGCTGGCTGGTGCTGGACGTGACAGCAGCCAGTGACCACTGGTTGCTGAACCGCAGCAAGGACCTGGGACTGCGCCTCTACCTGGAGACAGAGGACGGTGAGGACGGGCGGGCAGCGCCCCTTCTCCGCGGGCTCTGGTCAGAGGGCCCAGGCTGCAGCCCAGCCCTGCAGCTTTCTCCCTGTGACCTCGCAGGTTGCTTACCCTCCGAGCCGTTTTCTCACCGTGGGAGGAGCCTTCAGGCATTCTCTCACCCACCAGGGGTTTAGGGCGGAGCCTCCTTCATCCCAGGCAGTGGGCATAGGGGGCCCGAAGGAGGCCCCAGATCGCGGGTGTGACTACAGGGCCGCATGGCGGGAGCAGAGGGTCCAGGAGAGGCTGGAAGGAGAGGAGCCGAGAGGCAGCAGTGGGCACTCCGCGATGGGGAAACCAGCGTGAGGGGCAGTGCTTAGGGAGCTGCGTGAACGTCACAGCGTGGAGGACGGCAGGGTCTGATCTAGCTTTCCATAGGAGATCCCTCAGGGAGGTGTGATCACTCCCCGCCTCAGTGTGGGCAGCCCCTGGTGACGGGCCTCCCTGAGGACAGTGTGTCAGGAGGGGAGGTGACTGGACGTTGGGAAAGCTGACCTGCACCACCTCAGCCAGACAATCAGGGCTCCTGTGGAAACTCATTGGGCTCTCGTGTCCCCTGGGTATGAGGGTAGGGGAGGGCTCTTCTCCGGGGTCTTCTCCCCAAACCACAACCCCAGTGTCACCATGAGAAAAACATCAGACAAACCGTATTGAAGGGCAGCCTGCAGAATGCCTGGACTGGCAAGGCCATCAAAAGCCAGGGCAGCCTGAGAATGGCCACAGCCCCGAGGTGCCGGAGGAGCTGTCATGGCTCAGTGTCCGTGGGATCCGGATGGGATCCTGGAGAGAAAAAGGACCTTGGGGAAAGCTGAATAAGTGAAACCTGAGTAAAACATGCTGTTTAGGTAAGAAGGTATCAATATTGGCTCATTAGTTGATGCAAATGCACCATAGTAATTGAAATTTATCATTTCCCAGGGGCACTGCGTCTGGGTATAGGGGAATTCTCTGTATAAGCACCTTTGCAATTTTTTGTACATCTCTATTGTAAATAAGAGCTTTACTTATTGTCTGCACAAAGTTAGCACCCTGACCTCTGAGAGGTGTGAGCTGTGGGGGAGGGGAAGGGAAGCCAGAGAGGCCGGCAGCCGGTGTCCCGGTGAGAGCTGTGGGCTGGCTGGTAGCCTCGGAAATGGAGGCACGTGGGTAGAGGGATCGGGAATAAAGTGGACAGAGCCATTGGAATTTTTAAAATACATATATTTCCTTTTTTATTTTAAAGAGGAAGGGAGGAGAGAGAGAGAGAAACATCAATGATGAGAGAGAATCATTGATTTGCTGCCTCTTGCATGCCCCTCATTCAGAGGAAGAGGAAGGGAAAGGCGGGGATCCCAGTGTCCATTTCACAGGCTGCCTGGCCGTGTTCTCCTGGCCCCTCAGACTTTCTGCCACCAGAAAGACTGTCCTATCAGAGGGAAGTGACTTAAACAAAACAGAGGGAAGGCAGACGTGTATCCGTGTGCTCTGTGGCCTCAGAAAGCGCTGCTGCAGGCGGCCGGGCCTCAGACGCCTCTTCACCATGATTCTCCATGAAAGTGTGCAGCTGGAGGTGACCCACAGGTCTCTTCCCTCGTGAATGGGGAGATGTCCAGGGAGGGAGTGACCACCAGAGGATGGCAGAGGCGCCACTTTACTAGTGCCGTGGAAACACAGTGTAAACGTCCGCCCGCTGCTGTGGCCCCGTTGGTTGGAGCGTCTTCCCAGGCTCGGAAGGGCAGCGGGCTTGATTCCTGGTCAGGGCGCACACCCAGACTGCAGATTACATCCCTGACCTGAGCATGTATGGGAGGCAAGTGATCGATGTTTCTCTCTCTCTCTCTCTCCCCCTCCCTCCCTCTCTGTCTTCCTCCCTCTCTTCCTCCCTCCCTCTCTGTCTTCCTCCCTCTTTCCCTTTCTCTCTCTAAAATCAATAAACACATCCTTGGTGAGGATAATAATAATAATAAAATTTAAAAAAAACAACCATAAATGTCAGTTCATGGTGGGAAGACATGCTGTCTAATGAAAGATTTTCTCCTTTGGCCCTTCTGACTTTTCTGCTGGGCCTTTCATTTTGTGGCTAAATGTAGTTTCCCGTAGCCTCACCTCCTCTTCCCCGCACGCCGCCTCCTCGTCGCTCAGTGGATGCTCCAGGAGGAAGGGAGGACCACCGCGGAGGGACGGGACCTGGTGTGGAGAGCTGACAGGGAGAGGTGCCCTGGGGTTTCCTCCATAAACAGCCCGCCTGTGTGATGCCAAGGCTGTGGCTGTGACAGGAGGCGTTCTGGAAAGCTAACCGATGGCTCCGATGGTTTTCTCACCTGGACTCACAGTGCTCCTGTGTCCTAACAGACACTCTGTCCTCCCTCCTGCTGTGGAGCCTGAACCGGCCTCTTGCTAATATTCTCTTGCAATCCAAGAGGGGCTCGAGGTATTTCATCCTGAGTCCTCAGTCTCAAAGACTTGGAGAAAAGTGAGTTTGTATGTGTGTGTTTGGAGGGGGAGGGGGAATCTGGCAGCGGCTTTAAGCCCCCCCCCCAACACACACACACACACACACACACACACACACACACACACACACACACACACGGAGCTTGCACTTCCTACGCATGGCTCTAGGGGGCGCACAGCCAACATGAGCTCCTGGGTGAGAGCAGGAAGCTCCAGCTGGTCCAGGAAGGCCTTTCAGGGAGGCCTCGAAGGGGCCTCATCCCCAGGAAGGGACGGCCCTGGGATGGAGGTGGGAGGCAGTGCTCACTGAGGGCACAGCCTGCGGAGTCGGGGGAAGAGGCCAGGGACATGGCCAGATGGGGTGGGGGGGGATGGAATAGACACCTTGGGGGCTTCTGGGCAGATGTGCCCTGGGAGCCAGAGTGTCCCAGCGGCAGTGTGGAGCAGGCTGAGGTTCCCAGGGCCGACAAGTTACAGGCTGTTAAGCAGCAGGAAGGAGGAAAAGGACTGAGTTTCCCATCCTCACGCGATGAAGTCACCTGAGGGACAAAGCAGACCAGGTCCACAGCTGGGATTCCCTCCGAGGTGTCCACCAGGCATCCCCAGTGACCTTCAATGTGGCACCAGGGCCACGTCCGTGACTCCAGGCTGAGGAGGAGCAGGGGCTGCAGGTGGACCCAGAGCAGAAGGAAGCTGGGGGAGAGCTTGGCCTGGCAGAGGACAGGATAGGCCGGTGAGCTGCCCAGACATCGGCTCTGACGGGGCAGGCTCAGAGGTGGATGAGGCTGGAGGCCCCTGGGGCCCATCTGCTCAGAGGAGCAGCGTCTCCCGTCCTGCGTGGCCACAGCTCCAGGCATGGCCACGCGCACCCCTCACCTGCACAGGGGACAGCGTGCCTGCCTGCACCTCACAGGTCAGGCCTAGAGGCCCAGAGGCTCCTAAGCGCCCATCTCGGCCTTTCTGGAAAGGGGCCAGTCAGTGGGCAGCCGAGGGCCCACCAGGAAGACAGCCAGGGGCGGGCGGGGAGCCTGCTCCGGTGGTGGGAGAGGAGCTCTGGGCTCCGGAAGGGGGGCCGGGGCCATTCCCAGGCCTCCCAGGTTAGACCGTCTGAAAAACGGGGGTCAGTCCCCTAGTCCGGCCCCCCTGCCCCAGACCGGCCTCTGCGGGGCGTACTGGGTGGCAGGATTGTCCTGGCTGGTTGCAGCTTGGGGACCTTGAGCGGGTGCTGCTCACTGGGCCTCAGTTCCTGCTTCTGTGGAATGGAACCAGGAAATGCTCCAGGACCCTCAGGCAGGCTCCCCGTGCCCACAGGCTGCCTCCGGGACGGGCGGCCTCCGTGGCGCTGCCTAGTTGATCTGTGTCCTCCCTGCACCCAGGACGCCCCAATGAGATCCTCACAGACAGCTGCACAAAGAAAAGCAAACAGTGAGCGCAGCCCAGGGCAGGTCCTCCGGGCTCAGGGCCAGGGCTGTCCAGGGAACAGGGACTGGGCAGCGGCACACACAGGCTGGAGGGCTGCTGGGCCCTGGGCGCCCCCTGAGTCAGCCAGGCCGTGGAGCTCCACTCCGGTGCCACCTGACAACAGGCGCCATCTGCTCGTGCTCCGTGGCCGCCTTGTCCTGGCCTCACTGGCCTGTCCCCTCTGCTCGCAGAGCTTCCATGTGTCCTGTTGCCTGTGTCCTCACAGTTCCCCTGCGTCCTCCTGACTGCGACTCGCCGTGACCCAAACTCCCAAATGCTTCTGCCTGGGCTCCTTCCAGCAACAGCGCCAGCAGCATCAGTTCCTGTCTTAGCAGGTTCAGTCCCACCTGGAGCCTCTGATGGGCCCAGAGCCTTGTTCTGTGGCAGTGATGTCATAGGTCAAAGGTTGGTCTTAGGATTCATTAGGTGTTCGGTTCACTAAGGCCCGTGGACACAGGTCTAAAGCTCAGCTGGTTAAGAGCTGACCTTTGAGCAGGAGTGTGGGAGGGGCCGGCCATGTCCTTGGCCTGTGTGTCTACTGGAGGCTCATGTTAGACCTGCTGACGGCACAAGTGTCTATGCCTACGTGTGTGCATCTGCACACTGTAATGTGAGTGCTGTACACTGTATATGCAAATGTGTGTGTGTGTGTGTGTGTGGACATGGGTGTGCGTGTCCGTGTGTGTCCGTGGTGCAGCGTTGAGGGGAACGCACACGGCAGTGGAAGGGCGGTCACTGTGTTTGAGAAACAAAAACGAGTTGGTTCTCGCGCTCCTGCTCACGTTCCACAGGAAAAGAAAGTGAAGAGGTTCTGTCTCATTCTCTTCTTTACAACGAGAGCCAGGAAGTAACCTACACGCCTAGCGATAAGCTAGTCTCTCAGTGAATTCTGGGAACGAGGGACATTTTCCTCAGAAGCTCCCCACACTGTCTCATTGCTGCGACGGTGACAGCATTGCGAGGTCGCGGGGCCAGGAGGCGGCCAGGCGGAGGGGTCCTGGTGGCCGGACGTGGCAGGCTGAGGAGCGTTTTCTCAGCGGCCTCAGAGGCCGTGGTGAAACCCGTGTTTCTGGACCCGCCATTCGGAGGCCCTGTCCGCGGCCTCCTTCCTGCCCAGCAGGACCCGGGCCGTGGGCAGAGCGTGGCTCCGGGATCGGCCCGGCCCGGCTGAGGCCGCTCTGGGCCTCTGGTCCCTCCTCCGCCCGCTGAGCCTGCCTGTCGGTGGCGGTGGCGGCAGGAAGCAGGAGGGCCTCGCCCTGGCAGCCGCGCCAACCAGCGGTGCCCTCGGTCCCGGGACGTCCCGGAGGAGGTGGGAGGAGGCGAGAAGGGGGTCTCGGGCCCAGGAGTCCTCGGACCGCGGTGGGCGGCCGCCGTGTGGCTCTGCCGTCACTGATGCCCACCCTGGTCCCGGGCTCCTCCCGCTCCTCAGCCCGCTGCGGGGCCGGGGCTGGGTGTGGATCGGCCTTCGGGTGCGGGCAGCCAGGCACGGGGCCCCTCGGGCCGCAGCCCTCACGCTCCCGGCCCCGGCCCCGCAGCGCCGCTGTGCCCGCTCGGAGCCGGCCTCGCTGACCCTCCTCTCTGTCGCAGGGCGCAGCGTGGACCCGGGCCTGGCCGGGCTGCTGGGGCGCCGGGCCCCGCGCTCCAAACAGCCGTTCATGGTCACGTTCTTCAGGGCGGGCCCCGGCCCCGGCCCCATCCGGGCGCCCCGGGCGGTGCGGCCCCTGAGGCGGCGGCTGCTGAAGACCAACGAGCTGCCGCAGCCCCACCGGCTCCCGGGCGCCTTCGGTGAGTGCGGCCGGGCCGAGGCTGTGGCCCAGGACCCAGGGTGGCCGCAGAGCCCTCCGGCCCTCACGAGGGGTCCCCCTCCAGCCCCCTCCCGACACCCTCCCTGCCCCAGGCCCCTGTGGACGGCCATGCCCTGCCTATCAGGCTCCCTGCCCCCAGAGTCCCCTCTGTGCCTCCCCCGCTCCCCAGGCCTCCGAGCTCCGTCAGAACCAGGTGCCCTTCCCCCGGGCAGCGCCCCCTGTGCCCGGCTCCCTCCCCGGCTCCCTGCGGGACGCACAGTTGTTTGGGGGAAGGTCTCCCCACCAGGCGAGACCCTGGGAATCAGAGGGACGGGCCTCACCTGGCCGTGTGCCTCTTTCTTTCATGGGAGTCAGCCCTCTGCTTGGCCTTCACATGAGCCCCGGACCTGTGTGGGGTGTGGAGGACGGTGGGGGAGGCAGGGGTGTCTCAGGAGGGAAGGGGATGCCCCCCTGGTGTCAGAAGGCCCCTGGCTGCTTATTGACACCGGGAGGCCGGGCGGGCAGGGCTTCCTCTGGAGCCGCTGGGAGCCATCGAAGGCTCTGAGTTGGCCCGACACCAGCAGAGCTGCAGGGATTCATTCACTTTCCCACAAACGTGCCCGAGGGCACCCCGCCCGCCCGGGAGCCCGTCCGCGGCTCAGAGGCCCGGAGAGACCTCCCTCTGTCCCCGCAGACGGCGCCCACGGCTCCCACGGGCGGCAGGTGTGCCGGCGGCACGAGCTCTACGTCAGCTTCCAGGACCTGGGCTGGCTGGTAAGGCCCACTCTCCCTCTTACGTGACGGCCGAAGGCCACGTGTGCTCCACGAGGGGTACACTTGGGTTTTTTGTGGGTTTTTTTTCATGTATTGTTTTCTTCTGGGTTTCCCATGTGTTCTGAAAGGAGAATGTGATACTTTTATGGTGAAAAGGTGCTTTTTGGTAAAAACTGAAAATGGAGACAACCTGCCTCCCGAGCCACAAAATGTCAGGGAACAAAGGGACCCCGAGGCCAGGCTGCGGAGCCTCTGCCTCTGCAGGAAGCAGCTGCGGGAGGCGGGGCGGGGCAGCAGGAGGACCTGTCCCTGAGGGTCTTGGGTGGATGCCAGGCTTGGGGGGTAGTGGGGTAGGGGGACTGCTCAGGGGGGCTGAGGGTGAGTGACAGGTCTCTGAGGCTGAGGGAGGGAGGGTGAGTGACAGGTGCTAGTGGGAGGGACCACGTGGTGGGACTCACCTTCTTCCATTCCCACCAGGACTGGGTCATCGCCCCCCAAGGCTACTCGGCCTATTACTGTGAGGGGGAGTGCTCCTTCCCGCTGGACTCCTGCATGAACGCCACCAACCACGCCATCGTGCAGTCCCTGGTCAGTGCCCAGCCTGTGCGGCCGGCCCGGGGCGGGCGCTGAGGAGGGGCTCGGGCAGCCTGGAGGGGGTGGGGCGCCTGCTCGGTCTCGGAGGTTCTCACGTGGAACCTCGGCTGAGTGCATGTGTCGTTCAGCTCCCACACCGTGCAGGAGCGGGTCCCGTGTGGCCAGCCTGCGTCTGCAGACTCACTGCTGGTGCACACACGCACACACACTCACACACACACACACACACATTCCCTCTCTCTCACACACACACACACACACACACACTCACACACACATTCACACTCACACACACACACATTCACACTCACACACACACATTCCCTCTCTCTCTCTCTCTCACACACACACACACGTGTGCACACATGCACATGGGGACCTGCAGGTACGTGTGGTGATCACATGCACACATGCATGGAACAAATATGCATTCCACCCGGGTGCCTGTGCACTCTGAACACGTGTGCCCTTGTGCACGGGATTGTTCAACCTCAAGTGACGTGCACACGGGGTGAGAGACGGCGTGTGCTCACCACCCCTCACGGGGAGTCGGGAGAGTCACCATCGCCCCGAGCGCAGGGCTCTCCTCTCAGAAAGGCTGCAGCCCTGAGACCCGGCCTCTCCGGCTCCCGGGTCAGGACAGGCCTCCCCGCTCCCCTCAGAGCCCATGGCCGGCGCCCGGGCGGTGCTGCCGCTTCCTCTCACGTGGGCCTTTGAATGCCAGGCCGACACCTCCTGTGGAGGCTGAGCCGGGAGCAGTGGCCCCCGGTCCGGTCTGGCTGACAGCCCTGCCGCCGCCTCGGCTTCCCCAGTGGCTCAGAGAGGCCCTGGGCCCCGGCCAGCCCAGTGCCGCTGACCGTCCTCCTGCCGCTGGCTCAGAGCGGGGCTCCCGGGACAAGCGGGCGTTGGGGAACAGGGGCCAGACTGCGGGCGGGTCCCCGTCAGAAAGCTTCCCCGGGTCCTGCAGCCCCGCAGGGCTGGGCTTCCCCCGCTCCTGGGCCCTCGGAGCGGCCCCCACACCCGGCTGGAAGCCGGTTCCTCCCTCTCCTGCCCCCGAGCCCGGGGCCCGTCGGTGGGGCCTGACCTGGAGGCAGTGCTAACTCCGCTCATCGCCAAGTCGCAGGACAAATATTTGTGTGGAGCCGAAATAGCCCCACAACCAGGCTCTTCTTGGGGAGCGGCTCAGGCCGAGGGAGCAGGCTCACCGCCCGGCCCGAGTCCCGCCCAGCCCCGTGCCTGTGTGCGCTGCTCCATCACCTCCCAGTCAGACCCGCTGAGAAGCTGTCAGGAGGGTGCGCGGTGCTTTGAGAAATGACGGTGTTGAACCCCCAGGGGTGAAGCTAGAATCCGAGGCTTTATCAGTGGCTCCATGAACAAGCTGGGGGGGACAGGCCACAAACAAGGGCCGGACAGGCATGGTCAGGGGCATCGCAGGAGCCCAGAGAAGCATGGTCAGTGTGGCTCAGAGGTTGAACATCGACCCATGAACCAGGTCACAGCTTGGTTCTTGGTCAGGGCAGGTGCCTCGGTTGAGGGATCGATCCCCAGTAGGGGATGTGCAGGAGGCAGCTGATCAATGATTCTCTCTCATCATTGATGTGCCTCTCTCTCCCTCCCCCCTCCTCTTTGAAATCAATAAGAACATTTTTTTAAAGAAGCCAAGAAGAGGGAAGAGTGGAGGGGGTTCTGGGCGGGGGCGGTGCTGCAGGGGCCTTGGGCATAGGACCTGCCATCAGGTGCCTTGTGTGCTGGGACCAGCAGGGCCCTCAGGTCTGAGGGGAGTGGGTGTGGCAGGGAGCTGACAGGTGCCCAGGCTGTGCCCTAAGGGCCCAGGGCGGGGCAGGGGTCGAGGAGAGCAGATTTCCACACCACGCCCGCCCTGGCTGTGGCTGGAGTGGGCGGGGCGGGGCGGAGAAGGCCCGGTGCTCACCCTCTGCCTGCCGCCCCTGGGCAGGTGCACCTGATGAAGCCGGACGCCGTGCCCAAGGCGTGCTGCGCGCCCACCAAGCTGAGCGCCACCTCCGTGCTCTACTACGACAGCAGCAACAACGTCATCCTGCGCAAGCACCGCAACATGGTGGTCAAGGCCTGCGGCTGCCACTGAGGCCGGCGGCCGCTGCAGCGCCTCCCGCCGGGTCAGCCCCGCCCCAGAGGCTGAGACCCTCAAACCCAGCCAGACCACAGAGAGGACTGGCACGGAGACTCCTCAGAACAACATGTCCATGCCCCTTCCTCCTTCCTGCCAGGGCTGGGTCCTTTCAGGCCCCACCCTCCGCTGCCTAAGGCTGTGATAGCTTCCGGCATTCTGTTCTGGTGGGCGGAGTCATCGGGCAGGGTTCTGCCCCAGCCCTGTCCCCCAGTGGCACGTGCTGACTGGCTCTTTGGGGTTGGCACAAAAGTCCTATCAGGACCTGCCCTTGCTCCTTGCTGGCTTGGGCTGTGGGCAGATATGCAATGACCCGAGAGGCACCTGGAGCCCAAGGTGACCAGCTCAGGTCCTCCCGTCTCCGTTGCAGGGTTTGGGGGGCGTAGTCAGGGTTTGGCTCACTTCCAGTTGCCTACCCTTCTCAGGGGCAAAAGTAGGCATTTCTGGGTTCTTGTTAAAGAGCATGGACTTGTCTTGTGTGTTCTGTATTTTCAGATCTGATTACCAAACTGCTGGCCACGGGGAGGCATGTGGGGCAACTCCAGGAAGAGCTGAAGGAGCAGCCTGGCTAAGGGCTCAAGCCAAGGGCATTTTCCTTCTGTCGCCCTGCCCTGGATCTGTGTGTCCTCTCTCAGCACGCAGCACAGGGAAACCTTACCTTTGGAGAAACAAAAAGTCTTGGGGCATCACTGACCCACCTGTCTGTCGTCGTGTTGAACATCGGGAGCTCAGCTGTGTGGGGAAGGATCTTAATACTGAGCCAAGTGAACATGGTGACAGGGTGACAGGGCTCAGCACAGATGACATAGCGTTCCTTTCTCTTCTGCATGACGGCATCAATAATCAACCTTGATGCTGTTTTTTACCAAATCTGGATAGAATTTCAAGTGATCAGCACAGAACTCCAGGCAGCTGCTTCCAGCACCTTAAGAGTTTGCAGGTGAATTGAAACTGTGCCGCCTCCTGCTAAGGAGCAATCTATTCCACCCAGAGAAGTGTGTCTGTAACACCGGGCAGCCTGTGGCCAGGTGTGGACCATAGTAGGGCCTTGTCAGCACCCGTTGTGTCCAGAAGTTGTCAGAACACAGGCTGGCCACCAAAGTCTGCGTCACCCTGTCTGCTCAGGAGCCCCGTCCTGTGTCTCGGAGCCTGTGAGCCAGAGAAGAGGCCCCTGTCCCGGGGGAGTGACAGGCAGTAATTAGGGGAGCTGGGTGGGAAGGTTCCCGGAAACCACTGTTCTCCCTGGAGCAGCCGAGGCGGTGGGAGTGTTTATTTGATTTCGGACTTGCTCACCCTGTAATTTACCTGCTGGAGCAGACAGTCCAGCTGCCTGAACCCTGAAATACCGTGTCGTTAATAGCAGATCCTGGGCCCACCCCAACCCACAGGCGCAGCCCACAAAGGCAGCAAGACCCGTGTGCCCAAGGATGCACGTCCCTGGAGTCCACTCTGCCCCCTGAGGGCGGCTCCGGGAGAGCCGGTCTGGGCCAGGGTGGAGGCTGGGCCAGGCGGCAGGACTGGGAGGGATTCTGGGAGGGAGTGCCGAGGAAGAGGCCCTCCCAGGGGCCCAGACTATCTTGAAGATATTGAGTTCCCCATCAGCCAGTGTAGGGATCTGAGCTTTGGCCTAGCCCAGTGGTCGGCGAACAGCGGCTCACGAGCCACATGCCTCAGATTGAGAATGTTTTTAGTAAAGGCCAGTTTAGGAGTACCCTAATTAATAACAATGTACCTACCTATATAGTTTAAAAAATCTGGCTCTCAAAATTTCAGTCGTTTTACCGTTGATATTTGGCTCTGTTGACGAATGAGTTTGCCGACCATTGGCCTAGCCGTTAGGAGACCTGACTTGTGGGTGGCTCCCTCTTCTGGGCCATTTCCCATCCCTAACATGTGAGGGCCTTCAGCCATGGAATCCGTGTCTGAGTGCTGACCCGGATACACCCTCATAAACTGAAGCTGGAGCCATGGCCATCACAGATCCAAGCTATGAACCAGGAGGCTGTCACAACATAACATGGAACCTATTGGCTATTCCAGACCTTATGTCTTTCCAACATGAAGGTTTGTCTTTTAGATAACTGTAAATTCTAAATGAGCCAATTATTTTGGCAACTACTTTTTTATTTCCCCTGGTATCTTTAGTGCCCAGCAATGGCCTGGTGCGGGTAGGGGTGCAGCAGAAATGCCTGTCAGATGACCTAAAGTTTTGAAGATTTGGTGTATCCCTTCCCTATCAATCAAGCTGTGCACAGCAGGAATGGATAGGAGTTGCAATCTGTTTTCGTGCGGAACAATTGAAAACAGTAAGTCACTGCTTCCCACCTGGCCATTGGACTTCCAGCAACTTCTGAGACCAACTTCTGAGTCACCCAATGGAATCAAATAGAAAAAGGCCCAGGCAGTGGAATAACTGTGGACATGAAGCCCATGCATTTTATTCCATGAGTTATCGATTTGCTGAGTGGAGCATGGCAGCTGCAGTGGGTGGCCCTGGCTGGCAGGAACACAGCCCCGATGCCACTGCTTCCCTTTCTCTTGCTCAGGGCATGGCTTGTTTATCTGGCCACACCAGACCAGGAGGAGAAGTAAGGGTGGTCTGTGCATACCCACCGACAGCAATGAGGAATCAGGGACAGTTGGCAGGAAGGGAGGATAGGTGGAGACACAGACTAAGGAGAAACACAGGCAGCCTTGGCGTTGGCAGTGCAGTCCTGGCCTTGAGACCCAGTGGTCACAAGGTTAGTGCTCTCTTCTAAGGCAGGGAAGTCACGTGTTCTGGAAAAAATCCCAGGAAATAGGAAAGAGGCAGCCTAGCAAGAGTATAGGTTTTGGGACCAAATAGATGTGAACCCTGGTTCTTCTTCCTCCTCTCTACAGCAGGACACTGGCTTTTCCCTCCCAGGTTGTGAGGAGGACCGGTTATGTACGTAAACATTTAGGACAATGTCTGGCCTACTGATGCTTAACAGCTGGTACCTGCTGATATTACCACAAATGAATTTGCTAGTTTTGAGCCCCTTCCATGCTTGCCTACTAAGCCTCCTCCCAGAATGTGTCCTAAGGGTGATTGTGTATTTACTTCAGAGCTGGGTTTTTCCATTAAAATAACTACACTCTGCACTACTTTGAGGGCAGGACTTGAATTCTCACCTGCTTGGAAGGCCTGAGGCAAGCTCTGGGTTTTGCTGGCAATGGCCAGGGCTGTGAAACTGGCTGTGTTCCCTGACACAGGATCCCACTGTCCTGTAGAAGGTGCTCAGCACCACCAGTTGCCCCTGAGCACTGGAAAGGGATGGTCCATCCCAGGTTTCCCTCTTTATGCAAGCACTTGACCTTTAAAATTTTTCATTTTTAATTTACTACACACACAATGTCGTTTTGGAAGGAAGTTTAAATAAAAAATACAATTCAAATCATCATAGTCCTATGACTCAGATAAATACACTATTAATATTTTGTGAATTTATTTCTAGTTTTCCCTCCTTAGGATATAGATATAAATATAGATGTTTATATGTTATAGATGGGTATTTTTAAGTATTATATTAAAGTGCTTTGCTATATGCTTTTCCCAGTTTCTTGTATGGTGAGAACTTCCCTGTTAATAAATATTTTTAAAAAAACATGACTTTCTAGTTTTCTATCCCCCGAACTCTACAAGACTCAGGTTTCACCACGAAAAAAGCAGGTTCCAGTCTCTCAGAGGTTGTGTGAGGCTGCCGTGACTGTGACAAAGGTCCGTGCCAGCAGCACCTGGAGGCACGTGGCACCAGAGGGAACTCCCGCAGCCACAGCACTGATTGAGCTGCAGTCTGGGTCCCTTCCTCGGTGCAGCTGTCAAAACCAGGACTAGGACAGGGCCCAGCCCTCACGGAGCTAGTGAGGCAGTGGATTGGCAGAACCCAGCACATGTCCGCGGTCCTGGTGCTGGAGCAATGGGAGCAACAAGAATATGGGCGGGGAGGCGCCTCAGCTGGAGCCAGGCCGCCCCAGGGAAGCAGCTTTGACCTTCAGGCTGCAGCAAAGGCCTCACAGTGCCCTGGGGTCCTCTTTCCCCCTGGCCAGACTCTGCTGGGCAACCGGTCAGCGCCGTGCCGAGAAGCTGAGTCGGCGGCCAGGCTGCTGCTCCAGGCTGAGGCCTTCCTCCTGCCTGGCGGTCGAGTCCGTGGGCTCCCCGGCCTGGACTGAGCCCAGAGCCCAGAAAACCTCCCAGGGCATCATTATGGTGGGGGAGGGAACAGACCGAGCCTCTGGCCCGGCTTCGCCACGCTGTCCTGGGTGACTTCTGCAGTCATGTCCTGAGCCTTGGTTTGCCTCTGTAGAGGGTCCCAGGGTGGACACAATGAGGGAACACCCATGGACACCCTGGGAGGGGCAGTGGCACCCAATGACTCCACTCCTGCTAAGCTTCCCGAACTTAGGAAAATTCAGGGAAGAGCAGGAAGTGGCAGAGGCATTCTCACAGGAGTCGGTCCTCTCTCGGGAGGCTGGCTGCCATCCTTCACATTCTTTCGTGGCTGCTGTAAAAGCCCTGAAATTGCTGCCATCCCCAGGCCACTAACGCCTGCCCGCCCTGTGACTGACCTGCGGGGGCTGCAGACAGTGTACACTGACGGCCCCCCTGCTTGGAGGGTCTCTTGTGGGAGCTCATCCCAGCCACAGGGAGGCAGAAACTGGCCACTTACAGCAGAGGGAGCTCAGCTAAAGGCCGGGAGTCCGATGGGTAGATGGGATCGAGAAGCCAGAATGCCATCATCCCTCAGGAGGCGCTGCCTTGGGATCACAGGCCAGGGAGCAGCAGGCCTCTCCTGCCTCCTGGCGCATCCACATCTCAAGATTGAAAAACCCAGGGTGCTGCCCTAGCTGGTTTGGCTCAGTGGATAGAGCATTGGCCTGTGGACTGAAGGGTCCCAGGTTCGATTCTGATCAAGGGCACATGCCAAGGTTCCGGGCTGGGTCCCCAGTAGGGGCGTATAGGAGGCAATCAATAAATGATTCTCTTTCATCACTCATGTTTCTCTCTCTCTCTCTCTCTCTCTCTCTCTGAAATCAATAAAAATTTAAAAAACCAGAGCAGTGGATTCTGCTCAGAGCCTTCCACAGGTGTGGGATCTTTAAAACCACCTGGTCAACCAGAACATGGAAGGGAGAGAAGTTAGCCCACCTTGGCTCCAAGCAGTGGCTGCACACAGTAGGACCAGACTGTGAGCTCAGCATGGAGGTGGGACGATTTTGTCTCCCTCAGGGGTCAGCACTTTCTGTAAAGTTCAGGTAGTAAATTTGGGGGGACTGTGTTGGGTTAACTTTATGCCAACTCGGTTAGGTCATGCCATCCTGTATTTGGCTAAACACCAGCCCAGATTTTGCTGTGAAGGTACATTTCAGACGTGATGAACATTTAAACCTGCACAGCTGAAATAAAGCCCTTACCCTCTATAATGTGGGGAGGCCTCACACAATTGAAGGCCTCGGGAGAGAAAGGACTGCGGCCACCCGTTTTTTTCTGGGACTTACTGATTTGGGAAAATAAACCGACTGATTTTACCAGAAGAAACATCCAGGAGCCACACTGCGGCTTGGGAGAAGCCCTACGGCAAAGGCCTCGTCCAAGGGAGGAGGAATCCTGCTCCCAGTCGCCTTTGGACTTGAACTGCAACCTCAGCTCTCCCCTGGTCTCCAGCCTGCTGGTCTGCACTCCCACAATCACAGAACAATTCTTAAAACAAACCTTTCTTTACATAGGCAACATATGTTGTATATAACAACGTCCTCTTGGTTGTTTCTCTGGAGAACTCTAACATTGGGACCATTCAACAGTGCTGCTGCAGTGAGAAAGCAGCCATAGACACCAAGTAAACAAATGATGTGGCTGTGCTCCAATAAAACTTTATTCATA